CAAAATGTATATATTTTTAAAACTTGTCAAGTCAGAATTTTCATTTCTTGAGAAGGGATTCTGGACCAGAGCGATAGTACAGTGGGTAAGGCCTTTGCCTTGCATGCAGCTGACCCAAGTTCGATTCCCAGCATCCCTTATGGTGTCCCCACAGCACCACCAGGAATAATTCCTGAGTGCAGAGCCAGTGACCCAAAAAGAAAAAAAAAGAAGTGATTCATCCTCATCAAATATACTAGCATATTAACATTGCCAGCAGAGGCACATCAATTCTTTCTTAAACCGGAGAGAGTTGGGTTTTTGAATTAGGTCCGTATCTAAATCCTTCCACCTCAAAACTGTTTTTTATCTGTAACACGACAGTAGTAGCATAAATTTTGAGGGGTTCTTATGCAGTTAAATGAGATAATATATATAAAAATTCTATCTGCATGTTTGTTTCATAAATAAAATAAATACCTGTTCTAGGTTTACATATGGTGACAGTTATCACAGATCCATAGCTTCGTATATCTATCTCTTTGTTCTTGCTAATGTGTAGCTTCCAAATAATTTAAGGGGTTATTGGTGTATAGTGTGCAATGCTGTTCTTCAATATGTATCTTTTTCAACCCATCAATCCTAAGGAATATCATGTACATCCATACAAAATACTTGGAGACTATTAAAACAATAGTATGACCTATTTCATTTCATAAAAGAGCACAGAAGCTAATGGTCCATCTGGCACTTCAGAGACCTCATCACATCCTATCAGAACTGAGAAGTTCCTGAGTTCTAAAAAGAAAGCCAGGTTTAGATATGGTCGATCTAAAACTGGCAGGCACCTATCAATGGAAAATGAAAATAACCAGGCCTAACTAAATAAGTAATTCATTTAAGTAAAACTTTTGTCATTTGGTCTAAATGGCAGAAATTTCCAGGAATATTTGGCTTACCACTTCCATACTTCCATTTAAGAAAAAAAAGGCTTCAATGCCCCCCATTCTGCCTTATTACTTATTTTTTTTTTTATTTTGTGCCACACCCAGAGATGCTCAGAAGTTACTCTTGACTCTGCACTCAGAAATTACTCCTGATGATGATTGGGGGACTATATGAAATTCTGGGAATTGTACCCATGTAGTCCACATGCGAGGCAAATGCCCTACCTGCTGTACTATCATTCTTACCCCCTAATCTTCCTCCTTTAAGCAAATACACAAAAGGTGTATCCCAATTGTACCCAAGGCCACTAGGGACCCCTGGATTGCTCCAGCATTCCCTGGAAAAGGGATGTTATTGCCCACTTGGAGAAAGAATTCTCTAGTGAAATGTTATCCGTTTGTTTTGGATATTTGAATCACATGATCTTGTTAAAGATAGGGCAGGGAGACAGTACAGAGAGAGGTTAGGGTGCATGCCCAGCATGGCTTACTGTGGTTCAATTCCTGGCAATACAAGGTTACCTGAACATACCAAGTGAATCTCTGGAGGATCCTAGTACTCCCAGGGTGGTCTGAGTACTCTGGTAGTGCTAGGTCTGAGTCGCATCAAATCCTCAACCCCAAGAATCTCTGGTGGTGCCCTCAGACCTCCTGAACACTGCTTGGGAGTTTCCTCCAAATGAAAATTCTAAAGTCTGCCTTGGGGGCTGGTAGCACTTTGTGCCACCAAGTTCAAGTCATGCAGAGTTTCTGGTTTGGTTGTTGAACCACATTGTTAAATATCTTTGGCAATAGCTTTATGTCAAAATAAGGATTCCCATATTGTTTTTCAGCAAACAAATAAATTGTTCTAGTGGTAAGTCGGGTTCAAGTTTTCACCAAGTGTTTATTCTATTTGCAGACAGTAAATGTTTTGGCTTAGAAACACCATTTTAAAATAAAAATCTGAATGGGCATTGTCAAGTTAATTTCTTGGGAAATGCTAGAAATGTTTTGTGTAGAAATACAGAAGTCTCTGATCGTTTAACTGACAAGCATATTAGTTAAATGAACACTTTTGCCACGCAGAACTTTGTAATGCTGCCTCTTAGTATAGTGATGTTAAATAATAAGCAGTAACTTAAATGTTGCTTCTTACTAAACCATATCATATTGCTTAATCTTCTGGAAACAAAAGAATGTTTTCTTTTTGTAATATCTAATTAAATAATATACAGAGGAGTTATTTTGTGCCAACTATTATTTCAGCTTTTAGGGAAAAAAATTTATTTTAAACAAAGCTTAATCTAATTGGGTAGAAAACTGGGTCTTAGGCATTTCAAATGTTATGAAATATTTTCTGGGCCTAGGAAGATGGAGGTGGAAATTAGGGATTCACAAAAGAGTAAGCACAACATATTTTAGTGAGAAGAAACAAGTTCTCCTAGAAAGGAAACCCCCTATTATTACTTCTGTAACTCTGATGACTGTCTTTTAAATCTTAACCTCAGGTACATTTACCAAAAAGTCAGATTTTACCACCAATTTGGTTTTCAAAGTTCATTCAGTCTTTCAAGACTTAGTGTATGAACCCAGACAAAAGATAGTATAAGTTTCAGACCCGGGAAGAGAATTACTGCTATTCCCGATCTGAATTCTAGGTTTATCTCTTTCCTTCTCAAAATATTGTTTCATGAATTAGTCAAGTTCTATAATTCTTGTCATATATTTCTGTGTGATCTATTTAACCCAGTCGGATGGCAATGATTGGGACAGACTAGAAACTGGAAGCAAATCTACTAACTTCCCCACAGGGAACAGAACTTGGAAGAATGACAAGATTTGTCAGTTCAGTCCCCAAACAGAGGGATGTAGGATGAACTAAGTAGAGGAATTGGGTCTTCTATAAGCCCCAAGTCATATACTTCCCCAATCTTCTCTCTAATTAAACCCTGTATAAAAGTTCTTTTTTCCTCATCACCCCCCCTTTTTTTTTAAATTTTATTAAATCACCACGTGCAAGGCAAACGCCCTACCCACTCTCCTATATCTCTCCAGCTGAGTTCGATTCCTCCGCCCCTCTCGGAGAGCCCAGCAAGCTACAGAGAGTATTCGATATGCCAGACACAGTAACAACAAAGTCTCCAATGGAGACGTTACTGGGCCCGCTGGAGCAAATCGATGATCAATGGAAGGGCCTTTACCTTTACTTTACCTTTATTAAATCACCGTGAGATAGTTACAAGCTTTCATGTTTGGGTTACAATCACAACCAAAAATCTCTACCTCAGTGGGTTTGATTATGACAGGTATGTCTTTCAATTTTACTATTGTGTGCAAATATTTACATGTGTTTACAGTGTCGATATGCCTTTTTTATATAGCTTTAAAATAGACATTAAATAGAACTCTTTGTCTTCTTAGTTCCTTTCCATAAAAGTCATGAGAACAAAAGATATGAAAATCGATCATCTGTGCCTTTGTCAGTAATTTTCTGATGGGATCTTTGACTTAACGCCCACATCTTAGCATCGGGAAGTTCTCTTTAGTATGGAAAGTAATGTTTTATGTGTACAGGTTGCTAAGTATTTTTTTCTACTTCCTGGTATGTTCAAATAGATTGATAAAGAACAATATGAAAAAATTCTTTGCCTCATTGAGAGCGGGAAGAAGGAAGGGGCGAAGCTGGAATGTGGAGGAGGTCCGTGGGGAAATAAAGGCTACTTTATCCAGCCCACAGTTTTCTCCAATGTTACAGATGAGATGCGGATTGCCAAGGAGGAGGTAAATGGTTTCACTTTGTTCTGTTTCTTTGTTGCCATATTTGTCTTCATGTGGGCTGGAGCGATAGCACAGCAGGTAGGGCGTTTGCCTTGCATGCTGCCGATATAGGTTCGAATCCCAGCATCCCATATGGTCCCCTGAGCACCACCAGGAGTAATTCCTGAGTGCAGAGCCAGGAGTAACCCCTGAGCATCTCCGGGTGTGACCCAAAAAGCAAAAAAAAAAAAAATTTAAAAAAAAGTCTCGAATAAATTCTCAGTACGTGTTACTCTTCATCTCTGTAATTGAAAAAAGTTTCAATGATTTATGATACAGCCTGAAAATAGCAAAGAATTCAGTAGCTAGCTAAGAATTTCTAGCCAAACACAAATCAGCTTGCTTGGTAGTTTCCAGGCACTTCCTTCTCTAATTTAATGTAATAAGGGGAAAAAAATTTCATCTTCATTGTTGTTTAGTCCTTTGGGATGATGCACTTGTATAACTGGAAAAGTTAAGTGTTAGTCTTTGAAATTAAACTTATTTTGAGATAATGGTATGTTTATTTGCTGTTCTGTGAAATAGCATTGAATGATTTTACTCTTTATCCAATTTCAGTGTACCATCTTGATGAACTATATGCATAAGTATGTTGACATGGACACAGACAAAATACATAAGATTCCATTAACCCTGTAAATCCCTTCTACTTATCTTATCCTCTGTGTGTTCTGGATCAATATATTTCTGAACTCTCATATTTCCTTAAGTTTCTGGACAAATATTTTAGAGCTAAATATTAAATGAGAAAAACTAAATAATATCAAGAAGAATGTTATACTGGGATATGATATATATCTAGAAAAGTTTAGTTGGAACTATAAATAATCTATCTCACAGACACTGAGGCTTTTTAATAAATACAAAGTTGGGAGACACATTGGCTTAGAACGGTGAAGATATTTCATAATAAACAACAATATAGTTTACAGTGTCAATACAGTAACAGTTCAAGTGTACTGAATGATAGTCCTTTTAGTTAATAAACTTGTATTTCATGTCTATAATATGATAAAGAATTGTTTTTTTAACCCACCATAATTATGAAAATTTGGGGGAAAGTGCCAGATTGAATTTGACAGCAAAAACTAGACAAGGCAAATTTCTATGAATAATTAAATGTACTTAAATTTATATACATTGTCTCATCTCTCAATTAAATTTTGCATTTTTTGGCAAATATGTATTATTGGAGTTGCAGTTATTGCATAACTTGGCAAATATCATAGATAAACCAGAACCATTTTGATTGAAGGAATAAATAATTCTTTTTTCAATTGTCTAAAATTTCTATGACCTTGCTGTGGATGAAGCAAGACAAGGCTTCAGACAACTTCATGATGCTCTTACAAGCACTATAGAAATGCAGAGTCACCTCAGATCCAAGCATGCTGGAGGCTTGCTGTCAAATAAATACTATTGCATTTCTGCAGTCTGCATCATTGAACTATTTATATGCTAAATCAGAGTTTAAGCCCATAGTCATGTGCTGTGTTCAACTAAAATTACGTAAAATAGAACACATTTACTATAATAGTTGCTATATACCATGCATGATTACATTTAACCTCTTTCGAATGATAACTATCTTTCATCATTGAGATCAATGGCAAAAATTAGAAAAATATTTGTTGTTTTGATTGCTGTCTCCCTTCACTTACATTACCAAGAAAAATTTAGAAACACTAAGAGAAACTCCTTCATTTAGTTTTGATATGTTTTGTAAAAACATGATAGGGTTTTTTTTTTTTAAATTTTTTTTTATAAGTGAAACACCATGAGGTACAGTTGTAGATTTACAATTTTTTGTGCTTGGGTTTGATTATACAATGATCAGATACCCATCCCTCCAGATAGGGTTTTTTTTAAAAGTATAGTTGTTTATCTTCCGTCTGAGTATAAATCCATAATAAATTTAATTTACCCTGTATTAATGAGAGTTTAACAAAACTCAAGTGAGCAAATACACAAGTTTTAATTTTTATCATTACTTTCCACTTTTCGTCAAACTTCCACTCTGGTTACTACAGAGTGGTAGATAATTTAATTTCCTGTCATCATGAGTCACTCACTTTGGTATATAAAAGTTACACAAAATTTGATTGATGAGAAGACTCTGAAAAAAATCAGATAATTTGACTGATTATGAAAATATCTAAGTGCAGTAGAATAGTTGATGCTTCAGTTGATGATACCTTTATATTTAAAACATATTAATTATTATCAGCATTAACAGCTCATTAGTAGAAGAAGCGTCACTCTCTTAGGTTTGCTTTTGTTTGTATATATGTATGTAGAGGCTTGAAAGATGAATAAAATATGTAGAACATTAAAAATGTTCTTAAATGGGAGAGAAAATTTGAACTCAGTTATTTCAATGCACAATTATAAATTCTGGAAGTTGAAATAGAGCATGCAGTGAATTAATACTGTTTTATTTGCTTCTGCCCACTTTTGTTTCAAAAGAATACAGCACATAACCATGATATATTTTAACCTACTGCTTTAGCAGCTACAATTTTTACTCCTATACTTTGGTTTCGGGTAAGAAGCAAAATCTTAATTTCAGATAGTTTGAAGGGTAAAGGAAGTTTTTAATACAGTTTAAATGCTTTGTTTTAACTAATTATTTAAATGTATTTTATTCATTTTTGTGCTGTAGATATTTGGACCAGTACAGCAAATCATGAAGTTCAAATCTTTGGATGATGTGATCAAAAGAGCAAACAATACTCTGTATGGATTATCAGCAGGAATCTTTACCAAAGATCTTAATAAAGCCATAACAGTGTCGTCTGCTCTGCAGGCTGGGACAGTGTGGTAAGACAAACCTACAAAATGCCACAACTTCAATACTGACTCTATTAGCATGCCATTCAGAACTTTTTCCAGACTTTCATTTTTCACTGGAATCACATAGCTTGCTAAAAAAAAATTACTGCCATCAAAATAATAAATAAATGGGGCCAGAGAGATACTAACACAGGCAAAAGCTCTTGTTTTGCACATGGCCATTCTGAGTTGGGTCCCCAAAAGCTCATGTGTCCCCTGGAGTCCACCAGAAGTGATCCCTGAGCACAGAGCCAGGATTAACCCCTGAGAACAGCTGAGTGTGGCCCCCCAAAAGTATTCATAAATGTATACATAAATAGAGCAAATAATAAATAAAACCACAATACCTTGTTCTAGTGAAAGAATTTTAGAGGAGTTTTGTTTTCCTAATTCTATGCAGCATCCTAAAATTACTTCTCTGACATGATGCTCGACTCAAACTCTAGGAAGTATTAAGTAATTTCTAGATATTTGACACTAATACTAATCACCAAGAGATCAAAGTTCTGTATGAGGAAAGTTAATGGACAGTAAGACAGTGTTTATTTAATAGCCTTTAAATCAAACATTTATTTCTCATCTTAGTTACTTATTCTGAGATTATTAGAGATATTTAAAAGTTTTAGTTTGGACTGACATTGAAAATCGAGGGGTATATCTCTGATTTCTGTACTTTAACTATAAAATTGTATATATATATATTTATTCGACTATAAAATTGTAAGATTATACCTCTGAGAGTTGCACCACTCTGCCCAGCTCCCAGGCTCTAGACTGTTCTGTCGGCAATTTCTTTTTTTCCTTCATTAGATCTCACTTCATTCCCTATGCCCTGGCAAGATTACATTCTTTGTGGGGAAACAACCAATGGTGCTCAAGGATTACATTTTCTTAAAAAATTTTATTAGTGAAACATCATGAGGTACAGTTGCAGACTTACAAATTTTTGTGCTTGGGTTTCAGTTATACAATGATCGAGTACCCATCCCTCCACCAGTGCCCATTCTCCACCACCACAGATCCCAGTATCCCTACCCCGCCCCCCCCCGCCTCTGTGTCAGGGCATTCCCTTTTGTTCTCTCTCTCCTTTTGGGTGTTGTGGTCTTCAAAAGAGGCATTGAGTGGCAATCATGTTTGGTCTATAGTCTACTCTCAGCACGCATCTCCCATCCTGGGAGGATCCTCCCAACACCCTTTATTTGGTGCTCCCTTCTTTCTCTGAGCTCCCTTTTCCCCTAACATGTGTAGCTGGCCTCCAAGCCATGGAGCAAACCTCCTGGTACTAATCTCAGCCACTCTTGGGTATTAGTCTCCTATTTTGTTACTTTATGTTCTGGCTCTGTACTCAGAGAGCACCCCCCTGGGCTTGGGGACCATAAATGATGCCTAGCTTTCTTTTTACTTGTTTTCTGTAGGTACCAAGGAATGAGTTAGGGGTTGTAGCACAGTACCTGCCTTTTTTATATATAATAAGAAAGAAGCACGAAAAGGTGAATCAGTTGGCAAGACATTATTTTCAACTTAATGTTTTTCTTGAAGTGAATGTCTCTTTTGACTACTTTCATTTAGTAGTTCTGCTTTTACTTACACCAAAATATTTCATTCCCAGTGTAGAGTAAAAGAAGAAAACTAACTTTCTGTGCTATTTTAGATTTGGGGGGAGGGTGTTTTCACATCTGGCAGTGTTCAGGACACACTTTTCACTCCTTGGGGGATCATTTTAGTGGTATCCAAGGACATATGTGATTCTGAGGATAGAACCTGGGCTAGAGGCTGGCCAGGCAAGTACCTTATATGCTGTGCCAGATTACGGTACTGTCTTCTGCTTTTATTAAAAAAAATTTCAGATTTTGGACATTAGAGTAACAGAATACTACATGTTTTCTTAATTAAAAAAAAAAAAGAAGTATTATGAAATTATTTCACCTGGTGATATGGGACTGCCCAGTAAGAAATTTCTATTTGATTAAAACCAAAGGCCCTCCCGTTGATCGTCGATTTGTTCGAGCGGGCCCAGTAACATCTCCATTGGAGACTTTGTTGTTACTGTGTCTGGCATATCGAATACTCTCGGTAGCTTGCCGGGCTCTCCGAGAGGGGCGGAGGAATCGAACTCGGGTCGGCCATGTTGGCCGCGTGTAAGGCAAACGCCCTACCCGCTGTGCTATCGCTCCAGCCCCCCTTAATTTTATTGTACATATTGTTGAACATATCAGTGTCTGTCATTGTCACAGGTATAGTCATTTGAGGAGAATTATTTAATTTCAGGATTTCTGGGATTGTACCTGTGATTTCACTGTAGGATTTGATTTTGCAACTTAATAATTTAACACAGCTGAGGTATGGTTTTAAAAACACAGATTAATATTAATTAATTAATTAATTAATATTAACACCGATTAATATTAGGATGCATCTGATGCTAGCTAAATGGAGACGTTACTGGCGCCCACTCGAGCAAATCGACGACTAACGGGAAGTTAAGTGATTAAGTGATTAATATTAGGAACTATGAGGAGAGTTTTGGGTCCTTTATCATAAATCTTCTTTAATTTTAATGATTCGGGCCTGAGAAATAGTACAGTGAATAAGAGAGCACTTGGCTTGCATGTGGCTGGCCTGTGTTTGATCCCTGGTTCTGCTTATGGTCCCTGAGCACTTCTGTGAATGGTCCCTAAGCGAAGAACCAGGAAAATCACCTGAGCACTGCCAGATGATAATTTTTAATCATTCATGACCTTTCAAATAGATCTGTTTATGTTATTATTTTTATCACCGTATGAAACATGGCAAAAAATGAGAAAATTAATAATGAAACCCAAACTTATTGAACCAATTTACTGCGAAAATGGTCATCTATATAAATTATATATATTTTTATATTATATATAAAATTTTTCAAATTTTGGCATTTCAAATTTTTACATTTTTCAAATTTTGCCATTGGGGAAAAAAAAAGAATTTTAGTTAGTGAAGTACACAATTCTCAAGAGCACAACAAAGCTTATTGAATATGGGCAATAAAGTATGTCTGTTCAAAAAATTAAATTTCTAGCATATCATGTCTTTTCTCCAGGGGCACAGTAACACTTTATCTTATAAAATTCAAACTTCAATTTTTCAGGATAAGATGTACTGCCCAAATAAGTTTTAACTTCCTCACATATTTGTGTATACACACATACACACACATTCTGTTTGTTTCTAGGCACTAATCGCATTTTTCAAATTTTGTTTTTGTCTTTTTGGACCAGAGCCAGTGTTGCTCAGAACTTATTTTTGGCTCTGTACTCAGGAATTGCTCCCGATAGTTCTCAGGTTGGTGGCTCTCAAGTCAAACGCCCTACCTGCTGTACTATCACTCCAGCCCCACATTAAATATATTTTTGCATTCTCATTTTCAGTGAAACACCTTGCACAGCGGGTAGGGCGTTTGCCTTGCACGCGGCCAACATGGCCGACCCGAGTTCGATTCCTCCGCCCCTCTTGGAGAGCCCGGCAAGCTACCGAGAGTATTCGATATGCCAGACACAGTAACAACAAAGTCTCCAATGGAGACGTTACTGGGCCCGC